ACATGAGGCCCAATATCTTTAAAAGAGACAAGTCATTTCTTAAGAGAGTTATTATTGTACAAAAAGTTAAATGATTCAAAAAGCATAAAGGTTCCAAAAAATGGTTAAAGCTCTCTATTATCATCTAAGCCAAACCTTTCATCTATGAACGATTAAGCATTTACACTATGAGGCTTCTCTTCTCTCATTTAATGTAAAGGAATCTAAATAAAATAAATAAATAAACAAGTACATGTTTTTTGCTTTTTTTCTCTGCATGAAGCTGTAGGGTTACAAAACACACGACACTCACCTGTCACCACACACAGAGGCTGCTGACTTACTGTGAATGAGTGTTAGTGGTTGAGGATTTTCCTCTGTGTTGATAGAAAGCTTAGCAGCACCATTTTCTGAAGTGACACCCTCCACCTCACCTGCATCAATCACCACTGGGATATTTGAAGCTGGAGTGCCATCAGGGTTCAAAACTTCAACCTGAAATTTAAAACAAAACAAACAATTACACAACAGAATCAGGAAATGATAGGAGGGAATATGGATATTTGTACACTGTAATCTGTTTTGAGAAATGTTTTGAACTTTCCCCTGGCACCACGTCAAATTTTTAACTGCATCGTTTTTATTCTCTTCTAAATTTTATTAGCTTTGGCGGCCATCCTAATTTCTGTGGACTTCAAAATGTATTCAGTTGTAGATCGAAATCCAAAGATTATGTTTATCGCGAGTTTAAATAAAATCTGTCCAGCAAACACAAACACACAGGTAGTTGTATTATTGCTGATTGTGATAATGAGGACAATGTTACATAAAGTGTAAACTGATCTGAGATGCAGACACCTTCTAAAGAAAGAACCATTCAATTCAATTTAAAAATACTTTATTGATCCCAGAGGGAAATTAGGTAATTTACTAATTAAGTTTTACCAATCTTAATATTTTTCTTAAAAAATTAAATGCTGCAATACTTTGGACAATTAGCACAGGCTAATTAATTATGTTTGCACAGTTTGTATAAATCTGTATGGAGATAAGATGAATTTTATCTATTTAAGCAATTAAGGATGATAGAATACTGTTTTTTATTCTTTATGCACACAGTTGTATGAAAATGTGTCTTACTACAACATCAAAAGATATTCCAGGTTAGAAATATTTGGTTGTTTTGGCCAACTGAATGGGGTAAGATGRTATAACAATATAAATCCCTCCCAGCTCTGCCTCCACCATCTCATTGCCTGTGGAAAGTACAGAACAACACATTTATTTATTCTTCACAAAAAAATGGACAATGTGCCTTCTGCGTTTCACAGAAGTAACAATAAGGCAACTTAAAAATGCACTCTTACAGCTCATTCAAGGACATTATAAATTAATTTTCTTTAGGAAAAGGCCTCAAACCCAAGTCAACAGATAGGGAACTGAATAAATA